CAGACCAGAAGTGCTCGCACTTCCACAGAGCGTCCGGACTCCATTTCCCAGAATTCCCCGGTTCAACGGCTTGAGCCAAAGGGTCCGCCACTCCACGGAGTTGATGGACTACACGTCCTAGAATTTACTGGTCCACCCGCTTGAGCCTCCTTGCCCGCGACACAGTGTGTCTAGACTCCACTTCCTCAATTGCGAAAGGAAAATGTCTATAATCTCACCCTTCAGGGGGAAGCGTTGAACTCCGCGGTGGTCCTTGACTACACACACCGCAATGGCCACCGGGAACGTATCCCATATCTCTGAGCGCCTGGTGGGGAATGTGGCCTGTGACCCTGTGAGTCGTCCTCTCTCCCTGAGTCTTTGAGCGAAAATACTGGATAGACGGCTTTGCCTCCCACGATGACAGGAGTGTTACTGGGAAGAGAACAAACGAGGGGATACAATCTTCAAGGATTAGGATAACCTGACAATGGAAGGTTAAAACTAAGAGTTTAAAGAAAGAGCCAGGGCCGGGCGCGGTGGCTCACGCCTGTAATCCCAGCACTTTGGGAGACCGAGGCGGGCGGATCATGAGGTCAGGAGTTCAAGACCAAACTGGCCAACATAGTGAAACCCCGTCTCTACTAAAAACACAAAATAAAAATTAGCCGGGCGTGGTGGCTGGCGCCTGTAATCCCAGCTGCTTGGAAGGCTGAAGCAAAGAAAATCGTTTGAACCTGAGAAGCGGAGGCTGCAGTGGGCCAAGATCGCGCCACTGCCCTCCAGCCTGGGCGACAATCCGAGACTCCGTATCCGGAAAAAAAAAAAAAAAAAAAAAAAAAACCAGTTAGAATGGTTTGGCAGGAGCAATGAGCCACGAGGAGCAGGAAGACACCAGCCCCTACTCCAGGGGTTGTTGGAACCACTGATTTGGCTGGAAAAGCCACCCCCATTTAAGGTCACAACTACCAGTGAAGAAGCGGTGTCCTCGTGGAATAGCTGTCTTCCCATAAAGTTTTTATGGTATTCATATTTCTCCTTTAGATGCAGAAACATCAGATTTCAGCTAATATGGTGAATTGCTCAGTACCTCAGAGCAATAATGACTGATGAAGAGTTAGTCATTAGTATCAATCTTACATTGAGATTGTAAATGCAGTAAAACGGGAGGATTCTACAGGTGAGGGAGCATGTTTTATTAAGAGTTTCTTCCTGGCTGAGTGCAGTGGCTCACACCTGTCATGCCAGCCCTTTGGGAGGCCAGGCAGGACATTCCCTTGAGCCCAGGAATTCGAGACCAGCCAGGGTAATTAGAGGGAGACTTCATCTCTATAAAAATTTTTTAAATGATCAGGCGTGGTGGCCTTGTCTTGTAGTCCCAAGTACTCAGGAGGCTGAGGTGGGAAGACCACTGGAGCCCAGGAGTTTGATTGAGGCTGCAGTGATCTGTGATGCCGCCACTGCACTCCAGCCCAGGCAACAGATACCTCATTTAAAAAAAATTTTTTTAAGTTTCTTCCTATTTCTTGGTAAAATATAACTTATTATAGTTAGCAATTTGAAAACTGCCATTGGTTGGTTGAAAAAAATTATAAAGCTAAATTAGAAAACAATTCATCTAAAAACCTGCTCTTTTGAAGGTAACCTGATTTTTTCTCCCTATAAAGATACATTGGCCTATAAACCAATATTCTTCTTTTAAAAAAATGTAGTCTACTGTTTTTTATCTATTTTTCTAAACTAAAAACTTCATAATTTTGTTTAGACACAAAAATAAGGTGAATGTGCAGACCTTATGATGTCAACACCCACTCTCTGAAAGTTGAGTGATCACTATTCATACGCCAGTTATAGCTGTATCCTTGATCTACTCTGCCTTCCCAAAAGATAAAATGTATTGACACAATCATAGCATGCAGGGAACTGAGCCCAAGAGGTTAGGGGCACTTGGCATCAAAAGTCCCTTCTGTTCCCCAGGTCCTTGCTCTCTGGGTCTGTGATGGCAGGGGCAGCCTCTATGATCTCTGAGATGACTTTGGGGTCATTCTTCCCCAATGTGTCTTGGACAACAGGTCCTGGCTTCAGCTGACATAACCAATCCAAAGTAATCTCATAAATTGTTTGCTTATCTCTACCCTTGTTTTATGCAGAACAGGTTTCCTAAATTTTCCAAAGTAGATAGGCTGTGAATTTTTAAAATTCTTAGTTCTGCTTCCCTTTTAATTAATAATTCTGACTTTCTGTGCGGTCTTTCCCACAACACATGGGAATTCTGGGAAATACAATTCAAGTTGAGATTTGGGTGGGGACACAGCCAAACCATATCATTGATGATAGTGACAAAAACAAACAATAGGGAAAGGGCTCCCTATTCAATATGTGCTGCTGAGATAACTGGCTAGCCATATGCAGAAGATTGAAACTGGTCCCCTTACTTACATGATACAAAAATCAAGCCAGGTGCTGTGGCTCACTGCTGTAAACATTGGTAATAATGTCCCCACTTTTGTTTCTGATTTTAGTTACTTGGGTCTTTATTTTTTAGTCAGTTCTGCTAATGTTTTCACAATTTTGTTAGTCTTTCAGAATAACCACCTCTTGGTTTGGTTGATTTTCTTTGTTTTCTACTTCTCTTTTTTTATTTATTATACTTTAATATTTCCCTCTTAGTCACTTTCTGTAAGATTCTTTCTCTTCTTCTAGTTAATGAAAATAAACTTAGGTTGTGGATGTCAGATCTTTTTTCTTTCCTATTTCCCTCCTACTCACTTTTTGTAAGATTCCTTCTCTTTTTCTAGTTCATGAAAATAAACTTATGTTGCGGATGTCAGATCTTTCCTTCTTTTTAAAGCATTTACAGGTATAAATTTCCCTCCTACCACTGCTTTTGCCTCATTCTGTAAGTTTGGCCATTGTTTCCATTTTCAGTTGTCTCCAGGCATTTCCTAATTTCACTTCTGATTTACTTTGACGTTATTTACTTAAGAATGTGTTTAGTTTCGGCCGGGCGCGGTGGCTCAAGCCTGTAATCCCAGCACTTTGGGAGGCCGAGGCGGGTGGATCACGAGGTCAAGAGATCGAGACCATCCTGGTCAACATGGTGAAACCCCGTCTCTACTAAAAATACAAAAAATTAGCTGGGCATGGTGGCGCGTGCCTGTAATCCCAGCGACTCAGGAGGCTGAGGCAGGAGAATTGCCTGAACCCAGGAGGCGGAGGTTGCGGTGAGCCGAGATCGTGCCATTGCACTCCAGCCTGGGTAACAAGAGCGAAACTCTGTCTCAAAAAAAAAAAAAAAAAAAAAAAGTGTTTAGTTTCCACATACTTAGGAATTTTCCATTTTTCATGACGTGATTGAATTTCAGCTTTTGTGATTATAATTGGAAAAGACGTTTATGGTATTAAACATTTGAATTAAGAGGTTTTACTGAATTTATTACAATGTTTTCAGCCTTTGGTATGAGAAAAATTACAAATTATTGTTGAATTTATATTGTATTCAACCAATGGAACACTACAGAAAGCCACAAATGCTAGGAATACAACTTCAGGATAGAGGAGGAGGGGAAGGCAGGAACCAATTGGGAACAGATATTATCAAAATAATGCTGTAGGCCAGGTGTGGTGGCTCACGCCTGTAATCCCAGCACTTTGAGAGGCTAAGTAGGGCGGATCACAAGGTCAGGAGTTTGAGACCAGCCTGACCAATATGGTGAAACCTGGTCTCTACTAAAAATAGAAAAATTAGCCAGGCATGGTGGCGCATAGTCTCAGCTACTTGGGAGGCTGAGGCAAGAGAATCACTTGAACCTGGAAGGCAGAGGTTGCAGTGAGCCGAGATTGTGCCACTGCACTCCAATCAGTCAGCCTCTGTCTCAAAAACGAACAAATAAATAAATAAAATAATGCTATGAACTGCAGTACTCTGCATTTCAACTAAGGTGTCCCTGAATTAACATTTGTAGATTTCCTCTCTTAGATACAATTAAAAACATGTTTGTTCCTTTTGATTCATTTAACACATAGTGAACACAAAGTGATAGTGTTAAAGTTGTGAAGATGCAGCAGAAAACACATGTAGCTGACATTCTAGTGGTAATCAACTTTGGTATGTTCATGATTCAAGTTTTATAAATGCATGAACAAACTCTTATTCTAAGGCCTGTTTCCTGAATAACTGTAACTGTCAAACTTTTGTTTGAAGCCTACTGCACAATTTGCAAGGGTTCTCCACTATGACAGTCCCAGGACCACTGGGGTATGCTGAACTATGGCTGAAACAAGCTTTAACCTAAACACTTTTTTTTCTCCTACAGGACTGGATGAAATGTATCATCATCATGGATTCTGTTACAATATATGAACTCAAAGGGAATTGCCTGCTATGTGCCTCATATTTTAATGTTTCTCCCCTTTGTGAATGCTTAGGTGAGAGTGTAGTCGTGAAAACTGAGCAAAGACTTTGTTACACACATTACTCACATTTCTCTTCAATGTGGACACTCTGAAGTTGAAGACTTGAGGCCTGAATGAAGCACATACCACCACCCTCCGCACTCGCATAGTTTCTTTCCTATGGGGAGCTTCTGAGGCATAAGATTCAAGTGATGCAGCAATCCCACTGCTGGGTATATCCAAAGGAAAGGAAGTCAGTATGTCAAGGAGATATCTGCATTCTGTTCATTGCAGTACTACTCACAATAGCCAAGATACGGAATCCAACTAAATGTCCATCAACACATCAATGAAGAAAAGGTGGCATATATACACAATGGAATCCTCTTTAGACATAACAAGGAAACAAAATTTTGTAATCTGTGGTAACATGGATGAGTTTTGCAGGACATTGTTAAGTAATACAAGCCAGGCAAAGAAAGAGAAATACTGACTGTCCTCACTCATATGTGGAAACGAAAAAAGCTGATTTCATAGTAGAGAGTAGAACAGTGAGTGTAGAGGCAAGGACGTGTAGGAGATGGGTGAGATGGCCAAAGGTTGGCTAAGAGATACAAAAGTAGAGGTAGACAGGAAGAATACGTTTTACTGTTCCGCAGCACTAAAGGTGACTATCATCAACATTTGATTATTTACAAATTGCTAAAAATGTGTTGTAATCTCACAAATGCACCACACTGCAGCAGTCTCTCTTGTGAGATATCACCCGGAGTCTTAATCTTATGTCCATGATGATTAAGAAGCACAGAAGCAACGGTGAAATTGAAGTGAAAGTTTAATAAGTGAAAGAAAAAAGCTCTCCACAGTGGAGATGGGGACCCAAATAAGTTGCCCACTATGAGGCTGGGGTCTGAGGTTTTTATGGACTGGGCAAGGGAAGGAATGTGCCTAGTCTGTGGGCTGTCTTGGAGAAAGCATGACTCAGCTTGGTCCTGGACCCTGGCCCGAGACCAATCAGGAGCTGAAGTGATGTTTTTATAGAGGCTGGGCTTTTCCTTCTTCACAAAGGAAAGTGCCAACCCGAACCTACTGAAGCCTACTGTATTCAAGCCCACTGTATTCATGCCCACAAAAGAAGAAACTTTCCTGGGAGCCTGACGATTATACAAAGGACAAAGGCATTTTTGTGTCAGGCCTTGTTCCCTTAACTGAGTGAGCCGGAGGTTTGTGCAAGTTTTTACCTGAGTGGGCTAGAGGTTCTTCTATCTGTGCAGCCATGCGCATGTCTCCAGTCACAAGCCCCTGTGCTGGTTCCCTTACCAGTGCCTGTAGCCTGATTTTCTTCCCCAGGCTGCTTTTGATGTTCTGTGGGGATGAGGCACTGACCCGTGCGGCAGGGGCTCTCCACAGACCCTTCCCTTGCTGTCTACCACTTCCTCTCAAATGGACTTTGAATTTTCCAACGAAGAAATGGTAAATGTTTGAGGTGACAGATATAACAATTACACTGATTTCATCATAAATTATATGCACATATTAAAATAACACACCGTACCCCATAAATATTAACAATTATGTGTCATTTAAAAATAATGATAAAAGTATATCCAGATTCAAGCGTCTCTTGTAGCGTTTCCCACAGTCCTCACATTTGGATGGGTTTTCCCCACTGTGGTCTCTCTGTTGGTCTTTATGGTATGTCCTGTGTACAAGTCTCTTTCCACAGTCCTCACATTTGAATGGTTTTTTACGGCAGTGGAGTCTCTTATGATTCAAAATACTTGAGGCCCGGCTAAAGCTCTTCCCACATTCCTTACAATTATAAGGTCTCTCTCCCGTGTGGATCCTCTTGTGCAAGTCAAGATTAAACTTACTAATGTAGCCCTTCCCACACTCCTCACATTTATATGGCTTTTCTCCATTGTGGGCTCTCTGATGGGAGGACAGTTGTGAATTTGTATAAAATTCCTTCCCACATTCTTCACATTTGAAGGGTTTTTCTCCACTGTGAACTCGCTGATGGTTCAAAAGGCGTGAGGACCATCTGAAGCTCTTCCCACATTCTTTACAATTATATGGTTTCTCTCCTGTGTGGACCACCTGATGCTTACAAAAATCTAGCCTACCAATGAAGCCTTTTCCACACTGCTCACATTTGTATGGTTTCTCTCTTGTGTGGACCATGCAATGCCTATTAAGTGCTGATCTCTGATGAAAGCTCTTATCACATGTATCACACCTAAATGGTTTTTCTCCTGTGTGAACCATAGAATGGCTCTTAAGTCTTGACTTAAAATGGAAGCTCTTACCACATATATCACATTTGAATGGCTTCTCCCCAGTATGGATTCTCTTATGTTCCTTAAGCTTAGAATCGTGAATGAAGGCCTTTCCACATTCCTCACAAATATAAGGTTTCTCGCCTGTGTGTAATTTATGATGAACATTAAGTGCTGATCTACGACTGAAACCTTTCCCACACTGCTCACATTTGAATGGTTTCTCTCCAGTGTGGACTCTCTGATGAATATGAAGAACTGAGATGTAACAGAAGCTTCTTCCACACTCATCACATGTATGAGACTTCTCTCCTGCGTGTAATTGCTGAGGAAGATCAAAGACGGAGACATCACTGAAGGACGGTTTAAACTTCCCACCCTGGGAAGGTTTCTGTCCTGTGTGAATTATGCACAGTCCTGCTTCAACCCGGGAGGGGAAATCACCATGTTCAAAGAATTGAGAGTTATTTATGATATAGTCCTGAGACCTGGTTAAGTCATTTGTAGTTTGTTCCCAGATTTGCTGGCAGGACCACTCCTCATGTGTTCCTGCTTCTGGAACAGACTCCAACTCAGTTTGGATCTTGCCTCCTATAAGGACACAGATTTAAGAGATGTGTACAGGTAAAGACTTTATTCAGTGCTTTCAAGGTTTCACAGTTAGGACATGACATTAAACTTTAATGAATACAGAGAATGTTCAGTTTGTGTTTTCCAAGTACACCCTGATTTCTGGTTTGTATGAGGCCAATTCAGAATGACATCGTGTCTCAATAATAGACTTCATTTAAAAATATGATACATACATTTGGCCGGGCGCGGTGGCTCAAGCCTGTAATCCCAGCACTTTGGGAGGCCGAGGCGGGTGGATCACGAGGTCAAGAGATGGAGACCATCCTGGTCAACATGGTGAAACCCCGTCTCTACTAAAAATACAAAA